TCGATAACCCCCTTCACATATTATATCATTCGCTGTAGAAACAAATTCTGCATTCAACACAGCACAGGTTCAATAGCGAGTGTGAACAAGGAAAATCGAATCCACTGCTGACTTTCATCACGTATTTTTATTAATACTATTGACTGTTACGGATGAGAGTGGTAGAGATGACTACGGTCTATCGTGAGTCAAACACACCAATTCGGTTTCATTAGAATGAGTGTTCAAAAACCGTCAGTCATACCTATTTCTATTGGATGTGTCGGTGTATGCAGACATCTATGAGATATTGTATGAAAATGGTATCCTTGCTCGCACCTTCAATCGATAGAATGATCACTGTTTGTATTAGATGTCTACTAAAAACTGCTTTTCTTCAACTTAATGCAACCTTCAAGGCCGATGAAACTTCAAAATAAACACTTTATTCCGCTGAAATATTGTGAGAAGGTTTTTTTTTCTTTCCAAGATTTGTCCATCTATGAGTACTTTCATAACAAAACAATCTGAAGAGTATTAAAAACAGCATACATTATGTATATAAACTGATGTTGCTTACTCTTGCTTCTGTTCGGGAAATAATCAGTAGCGTCGGAAGAAAAGTAAGTGTAGTGAGTGAAATGCGACGCATCAGACTATAGCTCCCAAAAGAAGTTTCAACTCCCAAAAAAAAGTTTGTCTTTTGATAGAATAGCAGATGAGTGTTCATATGAATGGAAGATATAAATGTTATGCTCATCGCTCATTCACATAGATAACAGCATATAAATGCTTCCAGATTTGGAGAATAATGCATTTAAAGAATGTTTGCTTTTTGTATTTAGTTTAGAAGAAAGCGGACACATACAATACCACAAAGCAGTAAAACATCAACATGTAAGTAAATTTAATCACATAACTATATTATATATTTTGTCAATTTTTAAAATAGGTCCGGACCAGTAAGATCAGAACCAGCTAACACTTACCATTTTGAAAATACATTTGCTCCGTTAAGTGGTGAGCGTGTAATCAAAGTATATGAGTGTAACGAGGGATGCTCAAGTTGTTGTGGACCAAAAACAAAAATTGCACTTACTGATCGTCGAATTATCGCTCGGCACCAACAACCAGGTAAATGCTGTGGTGAAGGTGCTCACATTGATACAAGTATATTCTTACGCGACATCGAGTTAATAGGCGAAGCAGGCCAAGGAAAACAGGATTCCTGTTTAGTTCTTCTTGTTGCCATTCTTAGCTGTACATGGCCTTGCTTACTTTGTGGTATGTGTTGTAGCTGCTGTGGTGATCGACCTAAAGTGCTTCACGTCAAAGGTGGATTTGGTGGCGAAGCATTGACCTTCAAGAATACGGAACTAAAAACTGCTGCAAACGATTTATCAGCAATGATTCTGCCATTCAAAAGTTCATAATAAAGCTGATCGTTAGTTAATTTTTTATTTAAGAACATTTCACATTTATCTTAATCTTAATCTTAAATGTATTTTTACTATTATAAGGTGATTTTTCATCGCTTCTACTATTTTTTCTTCCAACATAAATATATTAACATTCCTATCTTGATTCTTCGTATAGAATTATGTAATAAAACAATATAGTCACTAAATAAGTGTCATATGTAAGTGATGAATTATGATTTGATTGTCAATATAGAAGATCTCTTAATTATTTCAGAAAAAATCATATTGGCTATTGTAATAGAAACATGGAGTAAAAGAGTGTAGGTGCATGTGAATGAAAGTGAATCTATTGATGTAGCAACATCGTTGTTGATGTAATCTTAGGTAAATATTAGTATGATATGTGTATGAGTGTAGTTATGGGTACGAGTTGTGAGACGATACAACCCACACCTTACTGCTGTCGACAATTTCTGGAAGCGTCGAATGCTTTTTTTTAATTCGATTAAATTTCATTCATTTTATTTCATTATAGTAACTGGTTCAAATACGAAAAATTCATTTACAACTGTTTTTACTTATTTTATTTCAGATATTATTTAATTCGTAAAAATCCTATGCATTCATAATCAGAACTATTATTTTCTAATAGTATTTTTTTATCATAATACTTAAAATTAAAGATTCTACAGGCACTGAAAATCTTATTATTCTGCAAGGGCATTGACACTACATGCAATATCCCTCAACAAAGACATTGAGCTGTTGCTAAGAGTAGCTTGTATTTTTAAAGTCTTATATACGAGCAGGGTTACCAGATCTTCCAGATTTTGCAAGCTTTTCTGTTTTTGTTCCGGTTTTTGGGTATTTTTCATATAAAAATTTATGTTTCAGCTGCTTATTTATATTTTAGAAAGTTTTACTAATTTTATAGAAGTGTTGTGCTCCCTTCTATTAGGCTCTAACGACCAGTCGTTTTTCTTCATTCTAGTCTATAATTCTTTTTATGTAGTCTATTAATAACAATAAAACAAATCGCTTGTATTTTGAATTTATCTTTCTTTTACAAATTCAGAATATTTGATTAAAGTGAAGAAGTTGAACCATCATCAACAAAAACAATAAACGAGAAAAAAAGAGAGGAATATTTCAATATGAATGGTTAAGGGAATTCACATTTGTAAAGGAAAATAATTTTGATATTTTTCTGATGGAAATATATTTTGTAAACATTAAGAATCAGGCTACTGATACTGTGGTTGAAAAATTGAACTTTATTGAATTAGAATGGTCCCTAAAAAATTTTCCGACATCTGTAAGATAATGTATGAAAAAGGCATCTATATTTACACCCTCAATCGAGTGAACGACCATTATTTGTGTTAGATGTCTACTGGGAACTGGTTTTTTCCAACTTAATGCAACTCTCAACGTCGATCAAACTTCAATATGAACATTTTAATTTGCTAAAATATTGTCGGAAGTTTTTTTCTTTCCAAGATTTGTTCCCGTATGAATGCCATCATTAGCAAACAATCTGAAGAATAATTACTTAAGAGCGCAGACGTTATGTATACAAAACTCATGTTGCGTGCTTTTGTTTCCGTTTGTAGAAGAATTAATAGTGTCGGAAGAAAAGTAAGTGTAGTGAGTGAAATGCGACGCATCAGACTATAGCTCCCAACGGAAGTTGCAACTTCCGAGAAAAAATTTTTTTGTCGTTTAATAGAATAGTGGATGAGTGTTCATGTGAATGGAAGATATAAATGTAATGTTTATCATTCGATCACATAGATACCAGCATATAAATGCTTCCAGATTTGGAGAATAATGAATCTAAAGATTGTTTTCTTTTTGTATTTAGTTTAGAAGAAATCGGACACATACAATACCACAAAGCAGTAAAACATATTTACGTATCAGCTGAACTAGAAAACCTCAACATGTGAGTAAACTTAATAATATAACTATATTATGAATTTTATCGTTTTTCTTTAAATAGGTCCGGTCCAATAACATTCGCGCCAGTTAATACCTTTCATTTTGAAAATACATTTGCTCCGTTGAGTGGTGAGCGTGTAATCAAATTATATGAGTGTAACGAAGGATGTTCAAGCTGTTGTGGACCAAAAACAAAAATTGCACTTACTGATCGTAGAATTATAGCTCGACACCAACAACCAAATGTGTGCTGTGCTGAAGGTGCTCACGTTGATACAAGTATTTTCTTACGTGACATCGAGCTAATAGGCGAAGCTGGTCGAGAAAAACAGAACTCCTGTTTAATTATTCTTATTGCCATTCTTAGCTGTACATGGCCTTGCTTATGTTGTGCTATGTGCTGTGGTGATCAACCTAAAGTGCTGCACGTCAAAGGTGGATTTGGTGACGAAGGATTGATCTTCAGTAGAACTGAAATAATTACTGCTGCAAACGATTTATCAGCAATGATTCTACCGTTCAAAAATTTACAATAAAGCTGATCGTTAGTTAAATATTCATTCAAAAACATTTCACATTTATCTTAATCTTGAACTTATTTCTTCTATTGTTTTTTTTTCTCTTAACATAAATATATTAATACTCTTATTTTGATTCGTCATATAGAATTATGTAATAAAAGAATATAGTCACTAAATAAGTGTCATATGTAAGTGATGAATTATGCTTTAATGGTCTATGTAGAGGATCTCTTAATTATTTCAGAAACGATCATATTGATTTTTCTTGTTATCAATAAGATAGATCAAGAAAATCAAGCATAAAGTTAGATAAACTATGTGCATCAACAAATTTCTTTTTACGTTTAACTTGTACTATGTAGATTAATTCGTCTAATGTTAGTTCGGGAATCTGCTCATTAACATTATCCTAGTCAATTCGCGAAGAATACATACAAAAATGAAGTTTGATAATATCAAATTTTTTGGAAAATTATTCATAAGCATCCGCAGTAGCATCACAAATTGTTTCCATAATCTTAACCATTTTTTCTGATGAAAGTAGTTTTAGGAAGACAGAGAATCTATTTAGTTCTATTTTTATCTATTGTATATTAATCATTGTATTGACACAAACATATGAGTAACATATATGCTGACATAAGAGTTTTACTTTTCTTTCTTATCAATATAAGAATGAGTAAAGAAAAGAACGAGTTTTATATCATAATAAAACAACAACACTATTTTCATCCATTAAACGCATAAATGACTGATAAAGAACAATTGACCCATATTCAAAATAATAATTTACATCAAATATCCAATGTATCAATTGAAATACCTCTTATAAATGAATCTCCAATATCACCAACAACTGAAACAATAATAAAACAAAATACTCATTCAAAATTATTATATTTAGATGGTCTTCGTGGAATACTTTGTTTAATTGTTGTATTTAGTCATTCAATTTTAATGGGTAAAACAACTCATGAAGAAAATTTCTCAATATTTTTTCGTCCATGGATACAACATTCACCTTTACGTTTATTTCTCGCTGGAGAATTTGCTGTAGCTGGATTTTTCGTACTATCAGGATGTGTCCTCGTACGACGTTATTTCGAACATTCAAATAATATTCATATTTTAATCGGTGGTTTAATTCGTCGATTTCCAAGATTATTCATACCATCAACAATTGCTTTATTATGTTATTTTTCTATATTTCATTTTCGACCATTTTACGGTTATAATGAATGTCATGAAATTGGTGAAGGTACAGTTAATATAGAAGAAATTAATCTTGGTTATGCACTTTTAAATACATTTGGACAATATTTTTGGATGCCAGCATTATATACAATTCAATGGACAATGCAAATTGAATTTATATTTTCGATTCTAATTTATTTCATCGCGTTTTTAGTTACACGATCGTTTATTTATCGTTATCGAATAATAATTTATATATTACTTATATTTATTTTACCTATAGTATGGTTAGTTAGTCATGAAAGTATTCCAAGACCAGTTCAATATCTTCAACCATTTGTTTTCGGAATTTTCTTGAGTGATTTAGATGCGAATGGTTTACTAAATTTTTGTCATACAATGAAAAGATATTGGTTAATTTTAATTAAGATTATTTTAATTCTATTAACAATATATTTTGGTTCATATCCAGTATTTAATACAGATGTAATAAATGGTCATGGAACATTATGGTCACCATTTGGATGGATGTTTGGTTGGTTTTGGATATCGTTTGGAAGTTTTTGTTTATTAATATTAATAATGATTTCAAAAAATATTCAAAATTTTCTATCAACAAAAATAATTCAATTTATTGGAAAAATATCTTTTAGTATCTATCTTACTCATTATATTATATTATGTATAATCGATACGTCATTTGTACAATGGACAGCTTCATATTTAGGACGAGATTTAGCTGTTATTATAGGATTAATAATATTTGCTTTACCAATTACTATATTTATATCATATGGATTCTATATATTTGTTGATGCTCCTGCAGTACATATGTCACATTGGCTTTATTTTATTATTTGTAATCGGTGTTTGAAATTAGATAAACGTCCACAACCAATACGACGATATATATGGATTAGTCTTTTAATACTTTTTATAATTTCAATCATTATAGGTTCAATTCCTGCTCGACAAGGATATAGTAGATGTGATAAACATTTCTATGAAAATTCAACTTTAACTATACCTATCTGAATTAGTATAATTTACACATATATCAATAATAAACTATCATATTAAATTTACTCCAGTTTACATCGTCTTTCATTAAATTTTTATTAGTAGTATTTTGCTTGACTTGTAATTAATGATTAATATTCTTTTCTATAAGAAAGATTCAGATGTGCATGCCAATCAACTCGTAGAAATTTGTGCTAAACAGTATGTCTATAGATTTCGAATTTCTTTTATATTATAGAATTTATATATGTGATGTACAATGACAACTAACTAACAAACAATATTCATCATGTGTAATTAACTACTGAGATGAGATTACTCGTTGAGAAGAATCAATTTTTATCGACACCTACACCTTCAGTCTTTAGTTCTATACACAGAGTTACAATGGTGATAATACAATCGAAGAAGTGATGGTATTTTAAAACATTGTTTCATTATGATTTCAAATGAATGCGTAAACAATCTATATGAGTAAAAATATATATTTTATTTTATCTGATTATGATTTTTATTCTATTCGATGATTGATCGAAACGAATGATCAACAATAACACTGGCTTGATTAGTTGAGTATCAATGAGAAATCGTATTTAAATACATAAGACTATTTATGTGTTTTATTCACTGCATCGTTTAACTTTTCTTCTTTGTAAAATATCAGTATGAGATAAATATATATATAATATTTCATTACTGACATTAAAATTTTATTAAATACAAAAAAAAAGTATCAACAAATATACAAAAAAGAATTCTATAGACATTATTTAATAATGTTAATTAGACGTATTGTGACGAAAATTGTATGATACATCCCAACTATCATCTGTAAAACAACGAAGAATAACATTAATAATATTTGAACCATTATTAGTGGTTATAAATGGTAACATTCTGTTTTGGTGGTTCACCAGATCCTTCACCAGAACCTTCACCGGAACCTTCACCGGAACCTTCACCAGATCCATCACCAGATCCTTCACCTGATCCTTCACCGGATCCGTCACCAGAACCTTCACCTGATCCTTCACCGGAACCTTCACCTGATCCTTCACCGGATCCGTCACCAGATCCATCATCTAACCCTTTGCCTGATCCTTCACCGCAACCTTCACCTGATCCGTCACCAGAACCTTCACCAGATCCATCACCAGATCCATCACCTGATCCGTCACCGGATCCTTCAACAGCAAGCGCTGGTATTTTTGATGTATCACTATCTTGTCGTGATTCAATTGGCTTTGTTGCTGCAAAATTAATACATATAATAGCTATGCTGATGTAAAACAACCATGTATAATGATGAAACATTTTGATAATCGTTGTAATAATAAGAATGAATAATGAACCATTGATGATGTTTTAACTAGCGTTGATTATCTCTATATATACTTTGATAAACGCAAACAATTATTCAGTATAAAGTATTGACGTAAATCAAATACAACGCAAATCCTAAATAAAGAAAAATTAGTTACGTCAGAATATAAAGTGATGAGAAACATATGACAATCGATGTATTATAATGTAAGCAGAGAGTGACGTATTTCGCTGAATAGCATGATATATTAACCACATGTTTTGTATAAAGGTAAAAATCTGTCTTTACAACTATTGACGTCAATAAAGATGAAAAAGTGCATCATTTTCATTAAAGTTTGAATTGTGAAATAAATAAATTATCAACTCTAAAAATTTGTATAATTTAATATAAAAATTAACATTATATGTAATGTAAAAGATGATATTTGTTTGGATTATTATTATTATTATTTAATGTTTTATATTATCAGTCGAAAATCCAATAATCACATCTCATTTATTTAAAATTAATGATTGTTTTTATGATATTGATACTCGATCATTCTATTTTTAAATATGCAAAAAATTGCGTTTGACGAGGTAAAAATAGATAATAAATAAATGATTTACGAAATAACTCCCCCTTATGTACGTCATTAGTTTTAATACTCATATAAAAAATCAATCGAAATTATTGATTTATAAAAGATTATTATTTGAAATTTTCTTTATATTAAAAGAATATGATTGAAAACGTAATTAAAATGATATAAAAATAAATTTATTTTTTGGAAAAAAATGTAAATAAAATATTTATTTATGAATTATTCATTAGGTCTATTCGATTTGTTGTTTGTAGATGATTTCTGTATCATTGATCATGTTGATATCTATGGAATGAGAAGTCATGATACATACTATGTCAGTACATTATTTTGGGCATAATTAAAATTCAAAACGGCTCAACATAATAATATTAAATTTTCCATATGCACTATTTAATGGAAATGTCATCGTAGATGTGTGGGTGCAAATAATATATTCATTTCTATTCGCCACATCGATTCGTACTCATACGAATCCTTAATCGTCACAGTCAATACACATACTTTGTAAATGAAGATAATTATATAATAGAGATAACGAATTCTCATTAATAGATGAATAGATACTACATGATTATTATAATTAACTTTCATTAAATTTTCTCTTGAACGGAAACATCAGGAATACTTTTCAAATAAATTAAAACGGATGTTATTTGTATTAGTTTTTACTTGATATGTGGTATAATTAAGGGATGTATTTGAACATGGTATGAGCACCTACTTTATTGTAATATTAAAGAAACTGTGCTTAGATTTTTCATTGTATACTAATCATATAAAATAGTGAGTTTACAATCTATTTCTTCATTGAGTGTGAAAATTCATCTATTGAATTATTTCTTATGGCATCATCATCTACTAATGGAAATTCCTATGATTATTATACAATTATTCAAAATGAATTATATATCACTATTTGTCCTATTTTAATTGGCACTGGTATTATAGGTTCTATTCTTAATTACTGTATTTTTATTCAAAAAACAATGCGACAAAATCCATGTTCTATTTATTTGATTGCATTTAATATTTGGTTTATTATCACCTGTTTTATCATATTCAATGAATTTCGATCCATCATCTTCCAGCGTGATCTATTGCAAATTTCGATTTTATCTCTCAACAATATTTAGTACACTTTCTCCTATTTATCTAGTTCTAGCATCTATCGATCGAGTACTTATCACATCAACAAATGCATTACTACGACAACGAAGTACATGTTCCTTAACTTATTGGTCTATTGGTATTACTACAATGATTAGTTTACTCTTTTAATCTAGATTTTTGTACGTGTTAATATTCAACAACTTTTCCCAGGTGTTAACTTTTGTTATTATGATTCAGATATCATCTATGGAACATTTTTTGTATACAGTAGACTTTTAATCAATAGTTTAATACCAACATTTTCTATGAGTGTATCTGCTATACTTACATTGAAAAATATTAATCAATTACGTATAAATCCAACAATAAGAATAAATAATCAGCTATCAAAAGATCGTCAATTAACTGTTATGCTTGTTAGTGAAATCATTATTTATGTTCTATTTAATTTTATGACACCAATTACACTTATTTACTTTCAAAGTACTCAATATCAAATGCAAACTATTCAACAACAAGCACTCAATAATTTTCTAATTGGCGCTTCATTCTTTTTGTCTTATATACCAGTTTCAATCAATTTAATAGTATCAAAATCATTTCGTCAAAATATTATTAAAATGTTCTCCAAAATATGTGGCTTATGCTCTGTTCAGTATAATAGACGGCGAATGATTATGCCGGCTGTAATAGTACATCCTTCATTTATACATTAAGAAAATATAGATTAGTTAATGTTGTCTTGTGAGTAGCAGTAAACAATGATTATGATATTTTGTAATCTATTCTTATCCATCTAGATTTACACGCAGAAAGTTTCAGTTGAAACTCATGATATAACATTGGTTGAATAATTATGATCAAGTTGATTCAAAAATGTTATTATGTAGAGTATTATTGAGTGTCTTATTTGTAAAGACTAGTCTTAGTGAAATCTTACATATAGCAGCGTGGCGCAGTGGAAGCGTGCTGGGCTCATAACTCAGAGGTCGGAAGATCGAAACTTCTCGCTGCTATTCTTTCTTTTTTAATTAATTTGAATTACATTCTACTCATAGAATGATGTAATGTAATGATTCATAAAATACAGTATAACCTCTATTAGTGCAGACTTTCCAGTTTGACTGACTGAATTTTACTGGTTTTGACTCCTTTCTTTATAATCACCTCGACATTCTGAATGGGAACGCTTTTTTTCAGTCCTTACCATGTAAATCAAACATAGCCAGATAGTGCCATCTATTATCTAGTTGACACTATGCATATAGTTGGCTCTTTCTATGGTTGGCTATAAAAGGCAAAGAAGAAAATAGACATAATCAATATTATTTTTTCTTGTTAGATCATTATGAAATAAGACCACTCGTCGAGAACTTTCTGTTGAAGAAAAAATAATTTTAATAAAAGAAAAAGAACAAGATATTTTTCATTGACGATTTAGTAAGAAATTTCAAGTATTCTCCTGCTGAAGATCATAAATATCTTATGTAGTAAATGAAGAGATATCATTAAATTCGAAAAATCCCTATATTTCTACAGGCCTTCTCCTTTGTGATCAACCTGTTAATTTGAACGATCTTCAAATTAGAGGGATTATATTGTTTTTTCTTTTTGCACATACCTGCGTAAATATTAAAATAGAACAGAATAAAATAAAAAATATAAAAGTAAACTGTAGTCATAGAACAGCAAAAAAAAGCATTCAGGTTATATTATTTTCGTCACCATGATTCTATGTTCGTTTCGTACGTTGCATCATGTCTTGTTTTTTTTTCTCTTTCTCTCTTATTTTCGTTTTTTCTTCGCACGTTGTTGATATAAACGATTTTTAACATGGCTGTTTCTTCTGCCAATGCTGTGATACGGACTCAACAAGGTATTTGTTTTTACCAGCTGATGATTTTATTATTTTCTTAATTAGGATGGCGTAGGCTTATCAAACCTTATTTATTTTCAACACTTGCAATCGGTACAAGTGTAACATTAGGTGATTTTATATGTCAATATTTAGAAAGACATAAACATAGAAAAGAAGATGTTATTCCACGAACATCATTATCTTCTGCATTACCATGGTGGAATAGTGAACGTTCTTTGATTATGTGTACATCAGCTGTTCTCGTCTCAACACCTTGGAATTTTGCACTTTCAAGAACAGTTGAACGATTATTTCCAGGTTTGTATAAACTGAGAATACATTTAGAAAATAAGAGTTCTTTGACATACTTCTTTTTTGTATTTTCAATAGGTAAACAAGGTATACAAATTGCGAAGAAAATGTTAACGAATACATTAACTGCACCTATTGGTATAAGTCTTATCTTTACAACTATTACCCTTTTGAAAGGTCAAAGTATTAGTGAAGCAAAAATAAAAGTTAGAACTGATATGCCAAAAACTTTTCTAGCTGGATCATGTTATTGGCCATTTGTTTCATTTATTAATTTTCGTTTTGTACCATTGGATTATCGACCATTTCTTGGTAGTCTAGCTGGAGCTATATGGAATATTTACATTTCATCTGTTGCTAATACAACAACTGATATTGAACAACCATCAGAAATAACATTAACAAATTTAATATCTGAAACAGGTGGAACAACAATACCAACATTAGAAAAAGCTTGGAATATTTTAGATCAGAATAAAAAAGATCTCTAATTTTGTGTTAGAAAATTTAGTACTTATGTGTGTTTAGTTATAAATATATTTTTTTATTTGAAAACAAAATTTCATTTGTTCTAATGTAGATTAAAATAGTATCTGTCTGCTGAAAAGTGATGAATGCTTTTATTTTTAGAAATAATTTTTCTTGAGAATTAACCTATATCGCAGGTTTTGAATTAGATTTAATTTCTTTTTTTATTTAACGATTGTAATCCTTATACTCAATTTATTATTGATGATGTATTTTTGAAAAAAAATTAATCAATAAATTTTTTAGTTTTTCGATCCATCATCGAAAATCATGGAAATATAACGAGCAATTCGCTCCGGTCCTAATTTGTCAATAATACTTTGACGAATCGTTTGATATAGACCACTGTTGAGAGTATTAGTTTCATAAGCCACTTGAATTTGAACTTTATCTTTAGCATACTCATGTAATAAAAATATATCACTTTCAGTACGTTCTGTAGTAGTTAATGTGATATACAATTGAAGTACTGTTAACTCACCGTTGACCTCATTTACTGATTGCACTTGTAAATTATATACGTTACCATCACCTGCATCTTTCGTAAATTCATCAATGATACGATCTATTGGATTTAAATGTTGAATTTTATCAAAAGCACGATTTAATATATCCTGTAATTCTGGATTAATTTGACCTGCTAATGATGTTGTAATTACTGACTTGAGAGAGATATGATCAGTGGTGGGAATAAATGGAGTAAAACTTCTCGAAGATGACGTCACCCAAGCAATATTAGGTAAAAGATGTTCATAATTTTCATACCAAGCACTAATAGAAGTTCGAGTAACTTTAGCATTAGCAGCCAATTGAGCAAGTAAAAGCGAATAGAGTACATCTTGTTTAGATTGTGCTGTAACCGAACTGCTAACTAAATGTAACTGACCAGCACTAAAATAGCTGGCTTTGCCTTGATTATAATTGCTATCACTTTGAACAGATTTCAAAATGAAAAGCGAAGTCGTAATAAAAAACAACCACGATAACATGATGCACAAGTATTGTTATTGGCAAAAAAAAGAAAGCCTAAAATGAATGATGGTAAGCTTTTTAAAAGCAATGTGATATCATAAA